TAAAGCAGTTTCACAAAGCCTGTCGTGAATCACGGAAAACTTGGAGGATCTCGGTAGTTGTGCATGTGCGTGGTGGCTTCTCCATTTTTTTTCTTTAAAAAAAAGTGTATTTTATTAACATACCCACCTTCTTCTCTCGTACCCCGCAGATTTGTATACACTGTATCCTCAGTTACTTGTTATTATAAAGTCATATCTGGTCACTGTAGAAAATTTGAGAAATGAAGAAAATGTGGAAGAAATAAGAGAAACGTGGTTTCTGCGTCAGAAGGCGGCGCTCCACGGAAAACGGGCCGAGACAGCTCAGGAGGCCGAGGGAGAGGTTTACGAGGGCTCAGCTGCCCGGGCAGCCATTAATGTGGCGTCGAGAAAACAGCAAATTAAAACAATTACACGGTTACTCAGGCACTTCCAAGCGTCTAAGTGGGTTGGGGGAAACTTGAAGAAACTAGTTTGAATGTCTTGCCCGGGCTTGTGGCCAAAGAGGGGTGCCGACCGCTTAATGCCACGGGGGGACTAGAACTTGGCTATTGATCCTGGCTAAACTGCTGATCAACTGAACACTGTCTCTGTGTCATTCCTTCTTCGCCGACTCTGTCCACACCTTTGGGGACCCCTGGACCTGCTGGGGTTGGACCTCAGCATTTGGCGCCTGAACAGCCAGCAATTATACAGGTAATAAAAGAAAAAAAATGCCACGGGGGAGGGGAAGGCCTCGCGCCCCACCCCCCATACACACACACACACACACACACACACACACAGGAGGGGCATTTTGAGACTTCGGGGAGGCAGCTTGTTTTATTCCCGGTTATGATAAGGTGTAGGGCTCGAGAAGAAACATGGCCAGGCTGTGGGCCAGCCCTCGGGGTCCAAGGATAACAGCAGACCGTTTCCCACAAGCCCTTGCCTGAGCCTGTTGCTCAGAGCTGAGCAGATGCCAGGCCTCACCGTGGGGACCCCCAGAAGCCTGGCTGCCCTCTGGGGGGCACCTCGCCCACAGGGACAGTGTGGCGCCATCCCGCTAGTGCCGAGCCCTGAAACCCGCAAGGCTAGGGGGCAGGGATCCGCGGGAGGGGGGTGCAGGGCTCACTAGGGTGATGGTGGTGTCCTCTCGTGTGAGAGGAGTGTGGGTGACACGCGTGTGTGCACGTGTGCATTTGTGGAAACTCGCCAGGTGCTCCGCTGCAGAGGGATTAGGTCACACTTTCCTCTGCATGTCCGTCAACAGCAGAGGAAACAGCCATTGAACCAGAAGCGGTGGCCTGCGGGGTGATGCGTACTGGTATCTGCCCCTTTTAAATGCATCGAAAGTAAGACAGTCCCGGCAGCGTAGTCAGTGGGTGAGCGTCGACCTATGAACCGGGAGGTCACGGTTCAATTCCCGGTCAGGGCACAGGCCCGGGTTGCGGGCTCGATCCCCAGTGCGGGGCATGCAGGAGGCAGCCGATCAATGGTTCTCTCTCATCATTGATGTTTCTATCTCCCTCTCCCTTCCTCTCTCTCTAAAATCAGTAAAAACATTTTTAAAAGAAAGTAAGATGAGTAGATACGTGACGAGGGGAACATAGCAACATGCTAACGGAAGCATGTCCGGGGTACGGTCCTTTCAGCTTTTCTCTGCGGTTCCGACTCGTCACCAGATCTGAGGAAGAAAAGCTAGTGCTGAGTAGGTCCTGCTGCTCTTGACTCAGTGGAATCTGCCCTCAGGTTTGCGAGGGGTAAAGCCAGGCATAGCGCACACGGGGCTGGGCACACACTGTTAGTCGTCAAACATACAGCACTGAAGTCAGATTGAATCTCTTCTCTCTTCGGATAAATTGCTTAAACACCTAGTCCTAAATGCATATTTTAAGGACATTCTTAAAGTATAACATGTTTCTCTCTCTATCTCTCTCTCTCCCTCTCTCTCTCTCTCTCTCTCTCTCTCTCTCTCTCTCTCTCTCTCTCTTACTTCCTCTTCTGTATGAAGGTTCTACACAGTAACTCTGCTTAACACTCCATGTTTGACTAAGCCAGTGGTTCTCAACCTTGATGCACATTAGAATCACCTGGGAATCTTTTTAAAATCCTGATTGCTGGGCCTCATCCTCTGGAAATTCTGTTTCTTTGTTGTGGGTTGGGGCCACATTAGTCACAAAGAAACAATTTCCGGAGGATGAGGCCCAGAAACCAGGATTTTAAAAAGATTCCCAGGAGATTCTAATGTGCAGCCCAGGTTGGGAACCACTGCTAACGGAAGGAGCTCCAAGCTTTCCTGCCGTTCCGCCGCCTCGGCAGCCCGGGAGGCGGGGTGTCGCTGGGTCTGCATTGGAGGAAAGCGCCTCCCGAGCCGGAGCTGCCGGCGGTGCCGCAGGGCACACCGTGAGGCAGTGGCCGAACAGGAATTAACAGGCGCTCGCTCTCTGTGGTTTTGTCTTAAATCTGCCAGCGGGGCTGTGATTCTATTTTTTTAATACGTTTACTGGCTCCGTGGCCTCACATTTAAATGTTGCCATTGCTTTATTTCATAACATGAGATATTTGGTGTGAAAGATGGACCAAGATTATACTTTGTTCCATCAGGAGACCGAGGCCGGGCCATTCCGGTCCTGTGTGGGTTGCTGCGGCTGCCGCTGTGTCCTGTGGGCATGTGGGCCGGGGCCGGGGCCGGGCCATGATGCCTCGGGCGGGGACCTCAGTCCTCACCTGGGGAACGGGTTCCAGGTGGGCCTGCCTCAGACCGAACCAAGTACACGTCAGCAGCCTTCTTCTCCCCCAGAACAGACATGTTGGACAGCTGGCTTCTAGGGCTCTTTGCCATGGGGGCGGGGGAGGCACTATTAAAAAACAAATCAATAACGATCAACATTTTGCACAAAGCTTCTTTTTTCTTCCGTATTTGGGTCTCTTTCCTCCGATACACTTTCCGAAGTGGGATCCTCCTGACATGGAACGCAAGCACACTGGTTCAGCCACACACGCTGCCCAGTGGGTTCCCAGCACGGTTCTGAATTCACGTCCACATCAGCAGTGAGCAGTGCTGCTGTCATCTTCCAAAGAGAGGATCTTTGTTTCTGACGATAAAGTGCCTCACCCTGAACCACGAGGCCACGTGACGGAGACTCAGCGCACAAACTCTCCAGGTGCTCACTGGGCGCTTTCTGGGTGAGCGAGAGGAGGGCGGAATGAAGGCACAAGTGCCATCTTCTTGACATGGTCCGTTTCTGGAATAAAACCAGCTGAACTTCAGTGGCTGTGTACCAGGGGCCCCATCGATGTGACAGTAAACACCCTTTGGCTCCGAGTAGAGAAGCTTACAAGCGAATGTCCTTCCTCGCTTCCGGTGGAAGCAGCTATGTGCCTCCCTCTGTGGCTGAGAACTCCTGAGGGCCCCCCCCCCAAGTTCCCGCCATCACCGTTCACCTGGCTGGCATGAGGGCACGCCAACACCTGTGGCCACCTAGCCCGCAGCCAGTCAGGTAGGCCGAAAGGTAGAGGGCCGGCCTGTGGCCAGGGGAGCGGTGGTGGCCTCCAGGTGTGCCAGTGGGGAGCCCGCGTCGCCCCCACAACCCTGCGCCTACATCGTGGGGGCGCCTTCACGCAGGACCTGGCGCTGGGAAGTAGGTCTGGCCCTGTCCGCCTGCCTCGCAGCCAACTGTGCTCAAGGGCTCCACGTCGAGGCTGAAAGCGAGCGGCCGGACTCCTGGGCAAAGGCAGCAGCTGGCCGCGTTGGGTCCACCCAACGTTGTGGTTGGAAGCCAGTCACTGAGGCGCCATCAGAGTTCCCATGTGACTCCCTCTGCCGCAGAGTGTGGGTGAGACGCGGCAGGGGCGAGGGGCTGGGGGGAAACCCCCACAGGATGAACGAGGAGTGGGGGTGCTTCATGCCCAGCGCTGGCGTCGGAACTTGTGTCTCTGCCCTGACACCGGAGCAAGGGCAGACGCCGGGTGCTGCTGGGCAGGCAGTTCCCGTAGGCGTACAGAGGCCCAGGAAGAGCAGCACGGGTTTTGGAGGTGACCTCGAGGAGGTCCCGCCTGGGGACTGGCCTCGTCTCGGGGCTCAGCCCCTGGCTGCGATGGTGGTGCCGCCTCTGCAGACCCGGGCGACCCCAGCCGGTCCTGGGCTCCCCTCCGAGCCCAGGGGCCCTGTGTCTTCACTCCCAGAGGGATTGTGGTTCAAAGCTCCCAGCTTCAAAGGCCCGAACCCCTTTGTTCTGTTACGCTTGCCTGAACGTGTTCTTTAAAGAGCTGGGCTTGCAAATGTGACTTCGTATCATCCTCTCCTTGGCTTTGAAATACAGACTACGTAGTGGGTCTCCCCCTCGTGGGAGATGTTTTCTGGTCTGAAGTCTGGTAGCTTCGCACACGAAGGAGCGGAGCGCACCTGTGCGGGCGGGGCTCCCAGGAGGACGGACTGACGGAGCACTGTCCGTTTCTCACTGGCGGTTTTTGAATGTATGTTTCCACTTCGTTATTCACTAAGCCTTATCTAATGAGACCTGGGGTTCAGTCTCCGAGGCCTTCGCTTAGAAGACTGTCTTAACCTCCCGCCTCTGGGTTTTCCTTGACGCGCTCGTCGTCCGCTCCCAGCTGTGCACCGTGGTGGTCCGCACACGTCTCCTGGTGCGTACTATGTTTGTAAATACTCTTTGACACCCAGAAGGCGGTGTGCTCTCTTTTGGCAAAGTAAAAAGTTCGCGATGCAGTTATTCAGTCGACGTTGTAATTACATTATTCATACACTTTCTGACGCGTATTGTTTGGCCTGCTGAGGTTCCTACCGACTGTCTCATCCGAGAGGTTTTTATAGACTCTCGTCTGTGTCCCCGTGACTTCTGAACACGTTTGAACGAGTCCCTGCGGGTAGGAGTGAGCTCTTCCTTCCGCTGACCTGCACCTTGTAAGGCTTAACCCTGTGCTGTCACGTCTGCCTCCATCAGAATTAACATCCTGAGCCACCGGAGCACAGAGTCTGTTGGCGTTTGTGAATGTGATTTTATTTTAGTTGTGTGTCTTCCTGGGCATTTCATGAGATGCCTTTTTTTCTCCCCCCAGTTTGCCAGGGCACCAACAACAAGCTCACCCAGCTGGGCACATTCGACGACCACTTCCGGAACCTCCAGCGGATGCTCAACAACTGCGAGGTGGTCCTGGGGAACTTGGAGATCACGTACATGCAGAGGGACTACGACCTGTCCTTCCTAAAGGTTGGTTCCGTGAGTTCAGTGCCTCGCCCAGACACGACAGCAGTGGAGAGAGGCAGGCACAGCCTAGGCGGCATTCTCCTGGGCGCGTGTTGGCTTCGACCACGGCAGTTCCGAGTCCTAGGGAGTGTGCGGTGCACGTGGCATGAGGAGGCCACTCTCCCAGCTAGTGCCAGGTCACCAAAGGACGCCCCAGAGGAACTGGTCCGGCCGGCGCTCCACGGTCATCATAGACACCGAGAGGTATCTTGTTGCCATGGCTTCCGCCGTGGCACCCTGGGAACTGGCTCTTACTTTTTGAAAAGCCTTGCTTTGTAGCATCTGCCCATTGCCTTGGTGTAAACACTCCCGCCACGGTTGCTTTCCAGCCGCCAAGAGTTTAACCGCATTTCACAAGTGTCCCCATGTTTTTCAGTCGGCTCCAGAGAGCCAACAGGAGCCAGCAGTTGAACTCTGGGTGTGATTGGCCTCCTTCCGGTGGCTGTTTTCTTTTTTTCATGAGCAAGCAGGCAGAATAGATGCAAGATAAATTAACAAAGCCGTTCCCATCTTCACCTGAGTGTGTTGAAGGCCTAGGGAAGCAAGTCACGGTTTTGCTGAGTAATCATGTTGCCCTTTCCTGCCGCCAGCGGGCTCAGGGGGCACGAAGTGGCAATGACTGTGCCCCCCGTCACCTGCCACGCCCTCCGTGCAGTCACCCACATGCCCTACGGCTGTCACCACGCGTGGGCGTCGTTCAGGGGGCGTCCTGGTTCCCTGGGCCCGTGTTAGACCTCACGCTCTTGAGCTCCTCGAAGGAGCTCGGCCAGCCTCACGCTTTGTCTCCTCAGACCATCCAGGAGGTGGCCGGCTACGTCCTCATTGCCCTCAACGTGGTGGAGAGGATCCCCCTGGAGAACCTGCAGATCATCCGGGGGAACATGCTCTTCGAGAACACCCACGCCTTGTCCGTCCTGTCCAACTACGGCGCCAACAAGACCGGCCTGCGGGAGCTGCCCATGCGGAACCTACAGGGTGAGCGGCCGGCCCGGAGGCCCTAGCGCAGAAATGGGACACGGCCCACCGGGCCTTTCCTCATTTCACTCAGGGAAGACTTTATTCATCACAACAAATGTGGGTTTTTTAATCTTTATTATTGAGAGTATTACAGATGCCTCTCTCCACTGGTTCCCGCCCCACTCCAGACTTTTGCCATCCTGTTGTCCGTGTCCATAGCTAACGCATATATGCATATAATTTCTGTGGTTAATCTCTTCACACACGCCTCCCCTTTCCCTCGGAGGTTCATCAGTCTGTTCCATGCTTCCATGCCTCTGATTCTACTTTATTCATCAGTTTACTTTTTATTAGATTTCTTGTTCCTTTATTTTGATTTTTAGATTCAATTGTTGGTAGATAAGTATTTATTGCCATTTTGCTGTTCAAATATTTATCCTTTTTCTTCTTCCTCCTCTTATGAAAGAATACGCTTCAACATTTCATGGCGTAGTGGTTTGGTGGTAATGAGCTCCTTTAGCTTTTTCTTGTCTGGGAAGCTCTTTATCTGGCCTTCAATTCTGAATGATAGCTTTGCTGGGTAGAGCATTCTTGGTTGTAGGTTCTTGCTATTCATCACTTTGAGTATATCTTGCCACTCCCTTCTGGCCTGCATAGTTTCTGTTGAGAAATCAGCTGACAGTCGAATGGGCGCTCCCTTGTAGGCAACTAGCTGCTTTTCTCTTGTTTCCTGTGCCACTCATGTGTGAGATACAGCTGGTGGAGGTTACTGAAAAGGTGGTACACGGTGCAATGGGAAGGGGAGATGTAGCCAGGTTATCCCGTGTTCACGGAAAAGCATCCGGAGAGTTAGAAATGGTGAAGGCTCTGGGAGAAGGGAGTGTGGCAGACTTTCTGTGCCTAGGGAGCGAATAAGCTGCCAGTCTTGTGACCTGGGCCTCAGGTGTAAGAGACATGCATTAAAAATCAACCCCTGGTGCCTGGCTGGTGTGCACAGTGGTCAGAGCGTGGACCCGCACACCAAGGGGTCACAGGTGTGATTCCCGGTCAAGGGAACATACCTGGATTGTGGGTTTAATCCCCACCCCAGTCGGGATCTGTGCAGGAGGCAACCAATCACTGTGTCTCTCTCACATCAATGTTTGTCTCTCTCTTTCTCTCTCTCCCCCCCCCAACCCCCTTCCACTCTCTCTAAAAATCAATGAAAAAAAATGTCCTCAGAAGAGGATTAACAACAACAAAATCAACGCATATTTGAGACAGTTTCCTGGGTCACTCTGTCTAAGTCAGGCCGAGGAACGGAGGTGTGACTGAATTTCTGTGGCTGATCACACATGAGGGTCCTCTGACAGGAAGCCGGAAGGTGATAGGAGAGATGGGAAGCTGGTTTTTTAAAAACTGAAAGTAACGGCGATCATGCCCTCACTCTGTGGCAGGGACGTGAAACGTAGCATTTACTGAATGACAGATCTAACCACTGAGTCACACGGACAGGGCCTCAACTCATTCTCCACCTGCTGCCGTGGAATTCCACGGGGAGCCTCCTTGGCTTGCTGGCATCTGTCCAGCAGGATGCAGCGTGGAAGAGCATCGGCCTGCGGACCAAACGGTCCCGGGTTCGATTCGGTCAAGGGCATGTACCTTGGTTGCAGGCTCCTCCCCGGCCCGGGCCCTGATCAGGGCATGTGCAGGAGGCAACCCATCGATATGTTTCTCTCTGTCTTCCCCTCTCCTTTCCACTCTCTCTAAAAATCACTGGGAAAATATCCTCGGGGGAGGGTTAACAAAATAAAAGGAAGAAAGCGTGCGCACTGCGTGAGAGCGCAGACGGGGCGGCGCAGAGCTTCAACAACACCCTCCCTCTCCCGCAGAAATCCTGCAGGGCGCCGTGCGCTTCAACAACAACCCCTCCCTCTGCAGCATGGACACCATCCAGTGGCACGACATCGTGGACAGCAGCTTCGTGAGCAACATGTCGCTGGACTTCCAGAGCCACCCGCCCGGCAGCTGTGAGTGTGCCGGGCGCATCGGCCTCCGCTCTGGGCCGGGCAGGGCCACGGGGCCAGGATGGTGGCAGGGAGGCTGGCTAAGGCGCAGGTCCCTTCACCCTAAAGCGCGGATGCAAAGGACCCGCGTCCGGGAGGCTGCTCGGGGCAGACTAGCACTGAGGCAGGCGGTGAGCTCCCCGGTCGGTCGGCACTGTCTCCTCTGTCACAGGAAGATGCCTTCAGCCCTGGCCGGTGCGGCTCAGTGGATAGAGCGCCAGCCTGCGGACTGAAGGGTCCCGGGTTCGATTCCGGCCAAGGGCATGTACCTTGGTTGCAGGCCCGTCCCCAGCCCAGGTCCTGGCCAGGGCGCGTACAGGAGGCAACCAATCAATGTGTCTCTCTCACATCGATGTTTCTCTCTCTCTTTCTCTCTCTCTTGTACTCTCCCTAAAAATCAATGGGAAAATATCCTCGGGTGAGGGTTAACAAAAAGGAAGGAAGGAGGGAGGGAGGGAGGGGAGAGAGAAAGAAAGAAGCCTTTAAGCATTTTCAACTTAAGTATTTTTCTTTTATAAACCTGCTGCGTGCTTATAATAGAAATTTGAAAAATAAGGTAAAGTAGAGATAAAAGTAAAAAGAACATGAGAGTTCTATACCGATGATCACCCTTGACATTTGTGTGTTAATTTGGCTCTTTCTTCTCTCTGGTTCCTTCTCTCTCAGTCTCTCTGCCTCCGTCTGTCTGTCTGGGTCCCTCTCTCTCCCCTCACAGGGTGCAGCCCTGTGCGTTCAGGGTGCTGCCTGACCCTGACCCTAAGCAGCAGGTGCATTGCACTCATGCCCTCCGCCCCTGGGGGCGGCTGTGAAAACTGTCAGTCACAGGAGCGGGTGTCCTGGGTTGCGGTCGCATGGTGACCAGCTCTTCTGAGATCTGAGTTCTTCCAGAGACAGAGCTGCTGCTGGCTGCGGGGACGGGGCACCTGAGCCCTCAGCGGGGGTGATTTGCAGGGACAGATGGCGGCAGGGCCGATGTCCTATGACCAGAGCTGGTGGACAGCCTGCTCTCACAGCAGCTGGAACCGCAGCAGGAACCCCAGCGGGGTCCTCTCGCCGCAGCAGGAACGCAGGGTCCTCAGATCCCTGGGATCCCTGGGTGCTGACCCAAACACGGTGCCGCTGACAAGAGCAGGCCCCTGTCAGCTGGGGGTGCTTGGCCGTCGCCTATGAAAGCTGCGAGCACTGACTGATCAGCTGGAAAGTGTCCAGACTGTAGCTGGCGAGGGAACAGCTGAGGCTGTAGGTGATGAACAGAGCGATACACGCGGTGGACATCTCCCTGTGGAGCGGACTCTGTGCCCCCCTCTCTGGCTAAGAGTCCGGGAGCTTTTACTTACAAACCCGCCTCCCCCAGGCTGACCGTCCGTCACTCAGGAGGGGCAGGGGGAGGCTGCAGCCAGCACCTCCCACCCCCTCCCCCAGGGGTAGATGACCCTAACAGAGCGGGGATGCTGGGCTGCTCCTGCCTGAGCCCACATGAAGCGGGGCCGGAGCTCACTGAACCCAGTGTCCGGGGCCTGCGTGCGCCCACGCTGCCTCCGTGTCAAGGCTGGGTGGACATGGAGGCGTGCGAGGTGCAGCCGTCTTACTTCCCTTATAAGTCACCTGCTCACAGACCAGCCGGCCGAGCATCGGAAACACGGCGGCTGCTCCTCGAGTTCAGGCCGCTGCTTTGCTCCGGGCCCGGGAAGGCGCCATCCCTCTCCTCATCGCCCCTTCCCTGAGATGGCGTTTAACTCTCCGTTTCTGTCCTAGGCCAGAAGTGCGACCCGAGCTGCCCCAGCGGAAGCTGCTGGGCTGCGGGCAAGGAGAACTGCCAACAACG